CCGGCTCGGCCCGCAGGTCCGCGTATGCGGGGCAATCAAGCAGAGCGTGTTCAGCCGTTTCGTCACGGCCCAGGCCGTCGCAGTGGGGGCAATGGGTGGGGGTGTTGTAATGGCACGGCCCAGGCCTACCCAGGATTCCTCAGCATGCAACTGGACGTGCGTGCCAGTGCAAGTCATCAAAACGCAATGCACAAGAGGCGGGCATCGTTGTTGATGTCGCAGTTGTCAAAGCCGAACGTGATCCACAAATCATCCGAGACATGTGGAGCTCCAGTCCCGCCGGCATTGGCGGAGCTTCCATCTTGCCATCCCGCGCAAGTGGCTTCAGCGCCGCCCCCAAAAGTGCGCCTGACGGTGCCGTCCGGTTTACTGCCACTCCACCATGCATTAACAACCGTCGGCAGCACCCCAGCAGCTGCGAGGTTGACGTTGATGCTGCCGACAAGCAACCTTGAGAAGTTGCTGGCCAGAACAGTGCCGCTTGCACTTTCAATTGGCAGACTGCTGGGAACCCTGTAATTGGCTTCGTAGTTTGCAAGCTGATCAGTGGCAGACACGGTCAAGAATGCGCGTACTTGGACGAGTCCACCCGGCCGGGCCTTTGAAGCCTGGCAGAGCGTGTCAGCACCGGCTCGACCACCCAAGTTGCCGTTCCTGGTGTCACCTTCAGCAAACAGCACGATTCTGGAGCGCAGGAACAGGGCCGCGGGCACGCCGCCCAACTTGACCGCATTGACGTTGGCGAGGTCGGCAAGTCTGGCGTAAGTGGTCAGGTCGATGTTGCTCACGTTGACAGCCAAGGTGGTAAGACTGGCGTTGACCGTCGCGAGTGCCGCCGCATCTGCGGAAACCGCAGCCTTGAGGGCCGCCACGGAGGCATTGGTTGCTGTGAGGCTGGCGGCCTGATCAGACTTGATGGCTGCAATAGTGGTGTTGACCAACGCCAGCTCCTGGCCGCAGGAGCACTGCTGTGCCGCAATGCTGGTGCTAGCCTTCAGCGCAGCGATATCTGCCAGCAGCGGTTGCATGTTGGCCGTCAGCGCCGTCAGTGTCGCATTCAATGACTCCAGCTTTGCGCGTAGAGCCGTGGATGTGCTACTCTCTTGTGCAAGAGCAGCCTGCGTAGAGCTAGCTTGGGAAGCGATGGCAGTGACCTTGGGGTCAAGTGCGCCAAGTCCGCTGGACAGTTTCTGCTCAAGGGCAGCCAGGCCGCTTGACAGTGTTGAATTCATAGACTCCAGCTTTGCGCGTAGAGCTGTGGCTGTGCTACTCTCTTGTGCAAGAGCAGCCTGAGTAGAGTTCGCTTGGGAAGCGATGGCAGTGACCTTGGGGTCAAGTGCTCCAAGTCCGCTGGACAGTTTTTGCTCAAGGGCAGCCATGCTGCTTGACAGCTTGTCGACCTGGGCAGCAGTAGCCACACCACAGCCGTAGTGCAGTTTTGAGGGTTCCTGCAACGTGAGTAAGTTGGATTGGGCAGTGCCGACTCTTGAACAATCGGCATACATGGTAGTTGTTCCATGCTTATGGGATTGGATATTGCAACAACATTGGCATGTACGCGTGGGAAAAGGAAGGTGCTCAAACTTGCTTGTACATGCACATTGGAACACTAGGTTTCAGAGCGTGGTGGTGTGCATGGG